AACTCCCTTATATAACGTTTGGTTACATATTGGTTTCAGATACATTTTACTTAGGTATTTATTTGATATTTGATAGTCATTTAAAAATTATAACCACGTTATTTTCTCCGGAAGCCTGTTTAGAACGGAACGGTAATGGAACGAGAATGTAACGGGAACGGGAACGGAAAGCAAAAGTTTTGATTAATCAATTATTTTCTTAGCAAGATTTGTAATTTATTTAAAGCACTTAAAGTGGTTAATATGCTCAAGATCTTCAAGGTGCCCCAGGCGCCTAAGAGGCTCAAAATGCTTCAGAACTGTCGTCTGTAGACTGGTAGCTGTAGAGTGTAGTTTATAGATTGTTGTCTGTGGACTGTTGTCTGCAATTTGTGGACTGTCAAATTTCAATAAAGGGACTGGATCAAATGCGCCCTGTAAATATTTAACTGTAAGTTGGGCAAAAGTGTATTGACGTGAAACAAGGAATTCTTGACGTTGCTTGACAGCACCCTGCATACTTTTGAAAAGCAATCAACGAGCACAAAGCGAATTTCCGTAGAACCAAAACAATGTTGAACAAAAAAAAGTCCAGTTACTGACGTTACCTCGTACATCTCCATTACAAACTTACTTGATCAACCGACGCCGACCGTTTTCTGGGTTTCTTGCCCTTAGGGAACCGACCTTTTGTCGAAGACAAAACGTTAGAAATTCGGACGAACTTTATGGTTAGGTAAATAACCGACAGCTATTCTACTGCCACGAAATGTAAATTTCGCAAGTAAGCAAGCGTGATATAAATAAAAATTTGCCGTTTTCGCTCCGACATATTTATTACGCTGCGGCAGCTAGCGAAACTGGGACGGTGCCCCGATCCCACAAAATATATTCGAATCACCGGACGCCCGATGCTTCCCCGACCGGGAGAAACCTGGCGATTTCGTCTCGACTCGATGAGCACATAAGGTTTGAATATGGAATGGGTTGGCGAAGGGAGAAATCAAAGAAATATAATATCGAAACGCGTTTTATGTTTAACAAGGGCGAAGGGCGCCACAAAAGGGAAGCGGTAAAACTGAGCACCCTAACGGCTTAGAAATGCTACGCAAACTTTTCTTTAAACTCTTGATATAGGATTGTGCTCGCTGTCAAAGTGGGACATGGGATTGTTTGGAATAAAAAGGCGATTACGCATACGCTTTGATTCACTCTCACAATCGTGATCCTTAAGAAACCTCTGAAGATTTTCATTTGCACAAACTAACCAAATTTACCAGTGTGAAATTGACATCTCAAACGCTTAACAAGACTGAGCGGCTAGCGGCAGCGGAGAATTTAATTAAATATAAAATAAATAAACCACTTCATGGCGACGTCATTCTAACGTAACCTTTCAATTTACTTATTTCTTTATAGGGTTATAACCTTCATAAATAAAATAACTCTGAAGACCTGGTATTCTCGGGAAAATTGCCTGCAGAACTCAAAAGATAAGTAATTAACCCATCTACTCACAACAAAATCGCTATTAACTGTCCGATGGGATGAATCAACCCTAGTACAGAAAAATTAATTTCATACTCAACTTTCTCATAGTAATTTACTTACAACATGAAACAAATTCGCTAAATTTAAACATATGATCTGAGGAATCTGAGGAATCTGAAGGATCTGAGGAATCTAAATCTGAAGAATCTGAAGAATCTGAAGGATCTAAAGAATCTGAAGGATCTAAAGGATCTGAAGAATGTGAAGAATCTGAAGAATCTGAAGAATCTGAAGAATCTGAAGAATCTGAAGAATCTGAAGAATCTGAAGAATCTGAAGAATCTGAAGAATCTGAAGAATCTGAAGAATCTGAAGAATCTGAAGAATCTGAAGAATCTGAAGAATCTGAAGAATCTGAAGAATCTGAAGAATCTGAAGAATCTGAAGAATCTGAAGAATCTGAAGAATCTGAAGAATCTGAAGAATCTGAAGAATCTGAAGAATCTGAAGAATCTGAAGAATCTGAAGAATCTGAAGAATCTGAAGAATCTGAAGAATCTGAAGAATCTGAAGAATCTGAAGAATCTGAAGAATCTGAAGAATTCTGAAGAAGAATCTGAAGAATCTGAAGAATCTGAAGAATCTGAAGAATCTGAAGAATCTGAAGAATCTGAAGAATCTGAAGAATCTGAAGAATCTGAAGGATCTGAAGAATCTGAAGAATCTGAAGAATCTGAAGAATCTGAAGAATCTGAAGAATCTGAAGAATCTGAAGAATCTGAAGAATCTGAAGAATCTGAAGAATCTGAAGAATCTGAAGAATCTGAAGAATCTGAAGAATCTGAAGAATCTGAAGAATCTGAAGAATCTGGAAGAAGAATCTGAAGAATCCGAAGAATCTGAAGAATTTGAAGAATCTGAAGAATCTGAAGAATCTGAAGAATCTGAAGAATCTGAAGAATCTGAAGAATCTGAAGAATCTGAAGAATCTGAAGAATCTGAAGAATCTGAAGAATCTGAAGAATCTGAAGAATCTGAAGAATCTGAAGAATCTGAAGAATCTGAAGAATCTGAAGAATCTGAAGAATCTGAAGAATCTGAAGAATCTGAAGAATCTGAAGAATCTGAAGGATCTGAAGAATCTGAAGAATCTGAAGAATCTGAAGAATCTGAAGAATCTGAAGAATCTGAAGAATCTGAAGAATCTGAAGAATCTGAAGAATCTCAAGAATCTGAATCTGAAGGATTTGAAGAATCTGAAGAACTTGTAAAATCTGAAGAATTTGAAGAAACTGAAAAATCTGAAAAATCTGGCGAATCTGACGCATGTGAGAAAACTGAATGTGGAAAGAAGAATTTGATGCCAGGAAAAGTTACAATGGACTGTAATTAGGTGAAAAAATGGATATGACTCAGGCGAATTTATTTAACCAACACACAAACTTTATTGTTTTTGAAAGTTGAAGACTTCTCTTTTCGTCAACACTTGCATTACAATACTGATATCGTAGCGCTTTACAAATTGATTAAGTATTTATTTGATAAAAATGTCGTTTCTCAACAGAAGAATTTGAAGAACTTGAAGTACACGAGGGCAAAAGAGGAGGAGAAATCGAGGGCAAGAGGACAAGGACGACAGAACAACGACGTCTAGACGAAGACGAAAACGCCAATGAGAGGACCAAACAAGAACGAAAGACAAATCGAAAATGTAGAATCGAGAGAAGCAGTTGAGAGGACAAGAGGAAAGGCGAGTACGTGAGAAAACAAGAAGAGAACTAGACGAGAAAATAAACCAAACACGAGGAGTACAACAGTATTGTACAATGACGAAGACGGAAAAACGTGAAAGTTTGAACGAAAAAAATTATCAGTTATAGCTCGAGCGCCATTTGTAAGGTTTTGCTTGCGGTATTCCGTTCGGGGGCTCAAGCCGGCTGCGCACGTGCGTTTTATTTCCCTCGTGGTAAGTGGAGGAGTAGTGGCAGTTCGGGGTTGCGTCTAATTGGTTGTACTTAATTAATTAGGTACACCCTGGAAGGATGGGAATTGACGATGCATTCCCGTTGCCTTATTTTAGGTACCCCTACACAAGGGTGTGTAACACGGAGTCTGGTCTTCTTTGGAAAGGAATGTCCCGCTGCCTTTATGGTTTCCTGGCATACACCCTTAAAAGGATCCTTCCGATCGATTCAAACAACCTCCCATTAAGGAGCCAGTTTATTTTCTCAGAAACCACAGAGGAAGGTGAAAACTGTGTTTGAATCAGGACGACCGACCTGAGCACAAACGCAAGAGATCAATGCAGACAAAAATGTTTTTTTGTGTCCGAACCCCCCTCCGCCTTTTTCTCTCTGTTCTCACTGATCCTTTTTCTTTGGTAGTCCATCTGTATTCTTTATTTTCAACAGTTAACTGTGGATGTAAGAAACCCCCCTTTTCTCTTCCTCTTTCGGCGTCCTCTTTAATTTCTCTCTGTACCCCTCTTTCTTCACACGTCGATTCGTCATCTGTGTATGTCCCGCTCCCCTTTAACTTTTCCGTTCCACTCACAAACTCGCTCTTCCTTTCCCATGCTAGTTTCGCATTTACTACCTTATTTCCCATTACTTCAAAAGTTCTCGCTCCCTTTTCATTTGCCTCTACTTGTAGGTTTTCTTATAGCGATTTCTCCGGTCGTTATTTTCCTTTTTCTACCACTACTCCCTACCGTTATGTTGTTCTTTATTTTTCCTCTTTCTTTTCTCTCATTTTCTCCTTCAAGTTTTTTATTCTTCATTTTCCTTATCCCATTGCTCTTCCCTTATCTTCAAATTTCACACCATGCGTACGTAAGCTGTGTTGCCTATCCTCCCGTCATGTCAACTCTTAGCTTTGCGATACCTAGAGCCTTTATATAAATAAACGATTGGTCGATGTACAAACTGCAACAACCAGGGAAAAGTTACGAAATTAATTATACGGTTTAATTCTGCACACACGTAATGCATGCGTTTTGAGTATCTTCCATAAGCGAACATTTTTGCCTTCTTCCCCCAACCCCTTTACACTAGACAAGCTCTACAACAGGAATTCGTGGTATTTTTTTCTTTCATAAAAGAACATTCGAATATCCGGAGAGACAATTAATTGAATCCTAGCACAGAGAAATTAAACTAAACATTCGCTCGTTTCTATTAAAATAAAACCGCTTATATTTAAATCAAGATTAGTGCCCAAAGCGGATTCCATAACAAATTCAAAAACAAGTCTACAAAGCACGTTTTATTGTCTATATACAATATACATAACGATAATATAATTTTTGAGCCATTGCGTAATTAAAGTGTAACGTCGAACGCAACGCGGGTGGAAAACTGAACCCAGAACTTTCACCCTTCGTGGGAGGCACCCCGGAAAATCTGCGAAATATGCAGTTTTCAGCGTGACCCATTTGTAATCACGCCGACAGTAACATGCAGTCGTAATGTTTCTGTCACATCCAGTGTAATTAATATAAAGTTACGGTTGCTACGTAAAAAAAACCTTACCTTTATGAACGAGGAATTTAATTTCGGCGTGTTCGGGGTGGGTTGAAATTTCGCCATCCCCCTCAGTATCTCCTTTATGTGCAGATCTTCGGTGTCGACGACTCGAAACGACGTCATGTTGACGAAGTTGTACTGAAAGTCTTCGAGATCGAAAGTTTCCAGGTCGAACGTCGTGAAAATGTAATGGTATTTGTAGTCGTTCATCTGAAGTTGCAAAATCTGCAACAAGAGGGACAAAGTTAGGGCATCAATTTCGAGCACGTTTCGTATTAGGTAAAGGTTCCGGTTAGCGCTGAAAGCCTTGTTTTCGATTTTTCCGGTAGTCCATCGTTCGTTCTCGCATCCGGCGGGCAGTACGAGATGGAAATAATAAAACTTACCCCCTTGAGAAAGTGTTGCATGTTCGACGGTTTCGTGTCGATGACTAAATTATGTATGTCCTTGTTCTTGATCTCCTTTAGAACCGCACGGTAGGATTCGGGATCGGCCTGACGGAGATGTATCTCCAAGTCCGTGTTGTGGGGGGATCTAACGAGCTCTCGGAGTTTTATAAGCCCTGAAACAAGTAAAAGCTAATAGATTGCGTCGTAAGGAAACTTCAAGTGAAAGGAAACTGTTTGAAGGCACGTTCCGCCTCGCATTTGGCCATATTTAGCTGGATCGAAAAGATACAGCTTAAATGAAAAAAGTAAAATAAACATTTTGCATGGAGCTATAAGACAGACTCATTGCAAAGAATTTTTTACGCAATTTCGCATCAAAAGCTCAATGTCAGCAGTAAATTCGCGTCAAAGTACATTGTAAAAATAACTCCCTACCAAAAACTGTTGATATGGTGGAGGAACCTCCACCAAATTTTCCAACAAATCCATTTAGACGAAATGTTGACTCAAACTCAATCGAAAACATTACGTATAGTAGGCCGCACAAAATACCTCACAACCATATACCTACCCCTTAGGAAACCCGGATCTTTGAGACCTTCGAGACCTTCGAGATCTTCGGGACCTTCGAGACCTTGGAAACCTTTGAGACATTGGAGACCTTTGAGGACTTTGAGAGCATTGAGATTTTTCTTTGAGATTTTTCTTTGATTCTTTGAGATCGCGATATTTGAGATCGAGATCTTTGAGATCTTGAGATCTTTAAAACCTTTGAGAACTTTGAGACCTTTGAGACATTGGAGACCTTTGAGAACTTTGATATCATTGAGACTTTTCTTTGAGATTTTTCTTCGAAACCTTTATTTGATTCTTTGAGATCGAGATCTTTGATATCTTGAGATCTTGAGATCTTTGGGATCTTTGAGATCTTTGAAATCTTTGAGAACTTTGAGAACTTTGACAACTTTGAGATCTTTGAAATCTTTGAGATCTTTGAGATCTTTGAGATCTTTGAGATCCTTGAGATATTTTGAGATCTTTGAGATCTTTAGATCTTTGAGATCTTTTAGATCTTTTAGATCTTTGAAATCTTTGAGATCTGTGATATCTTTGAGATCTTTGAGATCTTGGAGGCCATTGAGATCTTGGAGACCATTGAGACCGTTGAGATCTTTCTTTGAGATCTTTGTTTGAAATCTTTCTTTGAGATCACTTACACATCTTCCAACCGTTTGAACGTTTAGTTTTAAAAAATGTAGAAAATTTTCCTCTTTGTATTTCTTGTATTCCTAGGATTCCTTATATTCCATGGTTTCCTTGGACGGATTCCTTGTATTATTTGAATTCTTTGGAATCCTTGAAGTCTTTGTTTTTTTTTGGAACCTTTGGATCCTTTGAATTCTTTGAAACCATTTAAATCGATCACACCTTTGGTATCTATGAGATCTTTGCGATCTTTGAAATCTTGGAGATTTTTGTGATCTTGTTGTGTAGGATATGCTTGGAACCCTTCGGATTTGATATTTTTACGTTTTTTGATATTTTTGAGGCCTTTGGAATTTCAGATGTATGAGAACTTTGGGGTTTTTGGAATTTTTGAGATATTTGAAATCTTTAAAATTGCATGAATCCTCACAATCATTACTACTTCTACGATCTCTAGAATCAAAAATCATCCAAAATCGCCCCAAAATCGACAGCAACTTCAGAGGGACCCTAAAATTTAGAATCCTGAACAACGAGAGAATGCCTAGAACTCCTATAACTCATACAATCCCTAGAATCCTTATTAGGATACGTGAGATTCTTAGAAGTCACACAATCCCCTAAAAATAATAGAACTCTCTACGGCCCTAGAATGTGAATAGTCCCCAGAATTCCTATAATAGCTGGCATCCCTAGAATCCCAGATTCCATAGAATTTTGCAATTTTTAAACACGTCAGAACCCCAGAATGCCTTGGTTTAAAACCACTTGGTATCATTAGAACCCCTCAGCAGTTTTGGAACTTTTACGACCTTAGAAGCATTAGGATCCACAGGATTAGGACCAGTGGAATTGTTCAGATCCTTCAAAATCTTGGAATTTTTCCGATCTTTAACACTTTCTTTAGGCTCTCAAGGCTATCTCGTCAGGATTGCTGGGAGCCTTCAGCATTTCCAAGATCCTCATCTTTGAGACCTATGAGACTTTAGGATCTTTACGACTTTTGGATCTTTACAGTAGTTAAGATCATTAAGACCCTTATGATCTGTAGGATTTTTGAGTTTTTAGAATATTTAAATTGTTCAGATTCTTTAAAATCTTTAGGATCTTTAGGATCTCTAGGAGCTTTAGGATATTTAGGATCTCTAGGGATCTTTAGGATATTTAGGGATCTGTAGTATCTTTAGTATCTTTAGTATCTTTAGTATCTTTAGTATCTTTAGTATCTTTAGTATCTTTAGTATCTTTAGTATCTTTAGTATCTTTAGTATCTTTAGTATCTTTAGTATCTTTAGTATCTTTAGTATCTTTAGTATCTTTAGTATCTTTAGTATCTTTAGTATCTTTAGTATCTTTAGTATCTTTAGTATCTTTAGTATCTTTATCTTTAGCATCTTTAGCATCTTTAGCATCTTTATCTTTAGTATCTTTAGTATCTTTAGTATCTTTAGTATCTTTAGTATCTTTAATATCTGTAGTATCTTTAGTATCTTTAATATCTGTAGTATCTTTAGTATCTTTAGTATCTTTAGTATCTTTAGTATCTTTAGTATCTTTAGTATCTTTAGTATCTTTAGTATCTTTAGTATCTTTAGTATCTTTTGTATCTTTAGTATCTTTAGTATCTTTAGTATCTTTAGTATCTTTAGTATCTTTAGTATCTTTAGTATCTTTAGTATCTTTAGTATCTTTAGTATCTTTAGTATCTTTAGTATCTTTAATATCTGTAGTATCTTTAGTATCTTTAATATCTGTAGTATCTTTAGTATCTTTAGTATCTTTAGTATCTTTAGTATCTTTAGTATCTTTAGTATCTTTAGTATCTTTAGTATCTTTAGTATCTTTAGTATCTTTAGTATCTTTAGTATCTTTAATATCTGTAGTATCTTTAGTATCTTTAATATCTGTAGTATCTTTAGTATCTTTAGTATCTTTAGTATCTTTAGTATCTTTAGTATCTTTAGTATCTTTAGTATCTTTAGTATCTTTAGTATCTTTAGTATCTTTAGTATCTTTAATATCTGTAGTATCTTTAGTATCTTTAATATCTGTAGTATCTTTAGTATCTTTAGTATCTTTAGTATCTTTAGTATCTTTAGTATCTTTAGTATCTTTAGTATCTTTAGTATCTTTAGTATCTTTAGCATTTTTAGCATCTTTAGTATCTTTAGCATCTTTAGCATCTTTAGTATCTTTAGTATCTTTAGTATCTTTAGTATCTTTAGTATCTTTAGCATCTTTAGTATCTTTAGGATCTCTAGGATCTTTAGGATCTTTATGACGTGTCTAAAAAACCCCATTCGTTCAAGTATCTAGAAAAATCTTAAATATCTTGAATGCCTAAAATATTCCAAATATCCAGAATACTAGAATTCTAGAATAATATCTCGAATCAACAGTTTTGTGCAGATTTACTAGGTAGTTTTTCAAAATCGTTGGTTAACCATACCACCTTTAACGCCCGTTATCTCGTCAATTTGTGTCATTGTCAAGTTTACATATTCAAAATATTGGTTTGGCGTCATCATCCTAGATAATTACCCTTGCTGATAGGAAAACTTCCACTAACCTCCACTTCCACTTGCTCTTTCTCGAAATTATCGCACTCAACCGCAGTTCAATTTCGTATGAAAACTTTTTAACCGTCTTCCTAGCTTAAATCTGCATTGATCTCAAGGTAGAACGTTATGACTTGGGTAATATGAGACGGTTTTCTCTAGATAGAGCTAGAATCCCGTGTATCATGAAAATTAATTGCATCTCCTCATGTGCGCTTAATTAATTCTTATTAGAAACCGTGATGAGAATCAAATTACTGTTCGACGTCTTTCTGAAAAGGAAAGTACCTGAATCTGTTGAACGTTGAGAGTCTCTACCTCATTGTGTATGTAGGTGGCAGGTCGAGGGATAACGCACTTTTTTTTATGTTGTAAAAACTCGCACTGCTATTCGGTTTCACAAAAATAAAAGTCGAATAATGCCGCGCTTTGCGCAGTTTTGTTACATGCTACCTAATTTTTCTTGCGACTGTAGCACTTCATTTGGATCTTTGCGATCTTTACGATCTTTACGTTCTTCACCATCCTTACGATCCATACGATCTTTGCAATCCTTATACTCTTTACGGTCTTTCCGATCTTTACGCTCTTTACGCTCTTTACGATCCATACGATCTTTACGATTCATACGATCTTTACGATCCATACGATCTTTACGATCCATACGGTCTTTACGATCCATACGATCTTTACGATCCATACGATCTTTACGATCCATACGATCTTTACGATCTTTACACTCTATACGATCTTTCCGATCTTTACGATCTTTACGATCTTTACGATCTTTACGATCTTTACGATCTTTACGATCTTTACAATCTTTACGATCTTTACGATCTTTTGATCTTTACGATCTTTACGATCTTTACGATCTTTACGATCTTTACACTCTATACGATCTTTCCGATCTTTACGATCTTTACGATCTTTACGATCTTTACGATCTTTACGATCTTTACGATAGGAGACGAGGTGCTCGAGGTAAAGGTAATGTTGCCACTATAACCAGATGCCAATTCCCTAGACTCCCAGACTTTTTCCTCCTTCTACGCGGATTCAAAAATATACTTATGAAACAATTCTCGTCCCAACAATCCCCATTCTATAACGCAAATTTTACAAAATAATTAAACAAATTAAAATTCTGGGATGATTCAACATTTATTGATTCTAGATATATAACACAAATCGCGACCACTGAAGACTATTCCGCTATTGGTTTCACAGGTTTCGATATATTCTCTTGTATTGTTTTGTCAACACACATGGAAAGTTGATACGTTTTGTCGCATTCGTCCAGATTCAAATCTTGAAGTTTAACGCACACGATGATTTGATCGATTGTAAGGACGCCACCGAAATGTTTCGTCACAAAGTCTACGTCAAGGGTACCATCAGCTTTCGCGAAACCTGCCTTCTCGCTTGTACATTTAAGAAAGCACTTAAAGCACGGAGAAGGAATGGGAAGATATGTTTTATTTCTCATCCAAAGGTCAACCTCATAGGGATCGGCGTTCGTGGCACTAATGCATTCGTTTACGAACGGCTCGATGTCCTTATTCCGTTCTGCATGGTTGTCTTCAATAGCTTCGATCTGCGTTTAAATACATTTTAGGTAGGGACATGCAATTTTGGTTTTACCATCGAAACTGGAAACGCCGCCGCCGTCAAGATGAACACAGTTGCGCAAATTTTCTTCATCACTTTCTCTTACGATTTACCCAACTCTCCGTAATGGAAGAATTTAAGTTAACGTGTAATAGTGAGTTTTATCTTGTTGATCTCGGACTTGCTATGATAATGAATATAATTTATGAAAAGTGAAAAATGTGATACCGTACAATAAATTAATGCGTTTCGAAATGTGTTTGTGTGAACTCCAAAGCCTCCACTTGGTCATTTCACTGAGACTCAGCCATTCTTTACTTTTCAACATTTGTCCGGCATTTTAGTTACGAGTGCACCTTAGTTAAGCACATTAAGCAGTGCAAGGTGAAATCCATTTTGTTAATTTGTGCAATTTTTTTAGATTTTTGAATTTCCTATTTTTGATGGTGTTAATTTTAATCTCAAGTCAAGAAATATTTTTATGGAACTTTACGTCCACCTTTAATTGCTATTGTCCAGATACTTATCCCCATTCTGCGTCAATTTCGTTAGTGAAGTTACGCAAAAGCAACGTTACCAGATCATCAGGCTAACCAGTATCTCAGCGCGTAGGATTTTGGCTCATTGAGTAAACTGAAACTAAATGATTGAAGATTGGCTAATTCCTCTTTAAGGAACAATTCAAACGCGTTGAGTACACTGCTTTCCTTCAGAAGCAGTTGTGCAGAGTGAGTCAACGATTCCGCGGAGTAACTTAATGCCTTGAAGATAAGATTTTTCGATAGAATGCTTTTGTATTACGATATGGTTGAATATTCTCCACATTTTAAAAATATTTGGAATTATACAGGGTGCGCTCACAAAGTAGGGCGCGAAAATGGTGCATTTTTTAAATAGAACCCCCTGCATTTGAATGCACTTTGGAAATTCTACGTGTAATTGTACGCCTTTTTTTATTAATGGTTAATATCCGAAACACTAGTAGTTTTAAAGAATATTTCCCTCATATGTCATAAATGCCATATGAGGTGTGCAATTATCGCTCAATTACAGCGATAATTGCACTGTAGAAAGCGAAAGAGCCCTGCGATAATTGCACTGTCCATATCCATGGCAACTGGCAACTCCTTTGGACAATTTCACAATACACCGACAATGTATAAGTAGGTAACGTCAATTTGACAAGTAATGCTTGTTCGGGAAATATTCCTCTAAATTACACTCGTGCATCAAAATAAACCTGATAATTTTTTATTCAAGCATGTTGTCAGTAAAAAACTGCATTCGGTCATTTTCATATTTTGTTAAAAGAGCCCTCCACCTTCGGTGTCGGGCTCTTTCGCCAAAATATTAAAATAAACTCATGCAGTTTTTAGACAACATGCTTTCAAAAAAATTATCGGTAATTTTGATGCACTTGTGCAATTACCTACGATAATTCGATTTTTAAGAAAAAATGGGTATTTGCAAGCGTCAGTATAATATATTGTCAAAATTATTACTTAAATGTTGATTCCAGGTTTTATATATTTTATCCTGGGTTAAGTACAAGTCAAATAAATACGTATACTAAGAAACATTAAAAAAATAGCTTACAGGGTGTTTTTTTGGTAGGTCCAAAGTTGCAAAACTTCATATTAAAAAATCTCTCTTTTTTTAATGGAACACCCTGTACATTTTGCTGTCATCTTTTAACTCCTCCAAAAACCTTTAACTTTTGATAATAATGTCCTCTATCTCTGATAGCTTTCGAAATATCTTGGTTTTCCTGGTTTTTTATATTCTAATCTTAAGTAAGTTATATGTAATTTACATAACAACGAGGTAGCCATGCAAAAAAAAGGCAATTTTTATCTGCCTCGTCCAAAGCTAAAATCATATTTATTAATTCATTTTTCGGATAATTCATGTAAGTTTAAAAACTGGAGAATAAATTGGATAGCAAAAACGTAAACAAATATCCTGGTGTTCCTAGTTTTTATATTTTAATCTGAAATAAGTTCTAATTTACATAATAACGAGGTGAATATGAAAAAAAGAATGAAACTAATGTCACTGACTCGATGACATTAGCAGTTAAATTAAATTTGATTCAGCCAAATGTTTTTACTTATTCTCCAGTTTTTGGACTCAAAATGAATTGTTTGAAAAATAAATCAATCGATATGATTTTCGTTTTGGACGAGATTGATAAAAATTGCCTTTTTTATGCATGACCACCTCACAATTATGTAAATTCAGATGTAAATTACATATAACTTATTTTAAATTAGGATATAAAAACCAGGAAAACCAAGATACTTCGAAAACTATCAGAGATAGGTATAGGAAATTATTATCAAAAGGTTTTCCGACGAGCTAAAAGATGACAGAAAAATATACAGGGTGTTTCATTTAAAAAAAGTGAGATCTTTTAATATGAAGTTTTGCAACATTGGATCTGCCAAAAAACCACCCTGTAAGCTATTTTTTTAATGTTTCATAGTAGATGTATTTATTTAACTTTTACTTAACCCAGGATAAAAGATATAAAACCTGGAATCAAAATTTAAGTAATAATTTTGACAATATATTGACACTTGTAAATGCCCAATTTTTTTAACAAATCAAATTATCTTTAAAACTACTAGTTTTTCGGATATTAACCATATAATAAAATAGACGTACAATTACACTTAGAATTCAAAATGCATTCAAAAATGTACCATTTGGGCGCCCTATTTTGTGGGTGCACCCGGTATAATTCCAAATATTTTTAAAATGTGGAGAATATTCAACCATATCATAATACAAGAGCGCTCTATCGAAAAATCTTATCTTCAAGGCATTAAGTTACTCCGCGGAATCGTTGACTCACCCTGTACATAGTTGGCGTGGACAACTTGAATTTGGTTACAAGTAGAATCAGGAATTAAACAATTAATTGATTACGGAGGCATGTAAGAGGGGTTTGCGGTTTTCTCGTCTTTTTCATCTATAATGGATCATTGCAAACTGAAATACAATAATTTCAAGATGGCGCCGCTTCCGCAAATACCGGAAGTGGTGCCATCTTGTTTTTTTAAATAGAAATATACTATTCTCTGTTTTTTATCCGTTTTTTAAAGAATATGCTATTGTTTGCGTTTTGTGCGCCCGACCGCCAATCCGGACTCACTTCGGCGGTTTCGGTCTACTTTTAATATGTATACCTTGAAAGGTGTATCAGACGGTCATCAAATTTCGATGTCTTAAAATGGCGTTGAATTCAGAATAATCTAGCGCATTTAGAAAAAATACGATGTTTCTACTAAAAAAACCACTTCCGTTATTTACGGAAGTAGCGCCATCTTGAAATTATTTTTTTTCAATTCGCAGTATTCGATTATGGCTGAAAATTTCAAATCTCTATTTCAACTGCAAGCTGTAACGAACAGACTACGGAGATCACCCTGTATAAATAAAATGAAAAACAACTATAAGTTAATTAGATTAAAAACGTTTAGGTGCCCGGTACCTCTTAGATACCATAAATTAATAAAAATATATTTACTGCGGGGGTATTTTTTTGGCCCCACTCGATAAATCGTCGCAAACCTCCCTTTTCACCATAAGGGGAGAAACTAGCCCATATTCCATTAATTTATCAGTACTTGCCGAACTGTCATATAACGGACTAAATTTATGTGTACAAAGGAAAATAAGTTATTGAATAAGACGCTTAGAATTGCACAGCCTGCGTATGCGCCCACCTGAACTTTTTTATTTATGGAGATAATATTTCATTGATATATGCCTCTAGTAAAGAAAAACAGAGCATATAGCTATGACCTTTTGGGAAGCACTGATCAATTCATGGGAAATTCGCTGCAGATACTCGCCTTAGGGCGAAAACCTTTTCATTTGTTTTATTTGAGGCTTCATAGAAATTCCTTAACAATTAAGAAGGTTGAGTGTGTGCATGCGCAGAACAGGCAAAATTCAATTTTGCCATCAATTTACTTCATTCAAGGAACTTCCACTCAAATCTATTGTAAACAAGGGAGTTAAGTATGTAAAGGGTGGTCCAAGTTGTACACTTTCCTATGGAAACGCCTTTTATTTTAAGAGATAGAAAAAAATGGACCTATCTCTAATCGTTTGGTCGCTAGGGGGCGTTTCTCGAATTTAGTTGATTCTTATTATTAAATCTTTCTTAGAGCGCTTTTCTATGTAGAATCCATCGTGATACACAGTTTTTATACAGGGCAGTCGGCTGTTCTTATACGACCCTAAACTACATTTTTTAATATGGACCATCCTATATATTTTGGAGGTTTTGAAGGGTGCAAAATTGCTTAAATTTTGATTTTCTCTTTAAAATTGAGCTCCTGACACCTAGGTCTATTCTTTTCTCTTAAAATAAAGGGTGTATTCATAAGAAAGTGTCCAATTTGGACCACCCTGTACATGTCCACTTCAATTTTTGACATATGCACTTTGAATGTTCTTTTATTCCAAGGACCTACTGTAAACATTTAGGAAAAAGTCGCATCTATGTGCGCGGTAATTTTTTACGTGCGCCTTCAATGGTCCGGGTCCGGGTTTTACTCACACCCTGTACTTCTATCGTCAATACGATTGATGAATTTCATGCGAAGCTCCAAATCGACAAATCCATTCCCTCACAAAAATGACCGCGACGGCCCGATTCTTGGTTCTTGGCTTAGGCCTCCGCCCATTGGCTAAAGTAGTTCATCACAACCATAATGTACTTGTTTCCTCCATTAGCTTCTGGGAATGCTCCATCATTCAAATATTGTATTGTTACATGGGATTTGGCGTCGCTGCGGCACCATTCTGCTACATCATCTTGGAGAGTGGCCCAGTAAAATCTTTCCCGCCCTTCTTCTAGGGGTCTGTTAACTCCCAAGTGCCTACTGGCTGTCCCCTCAACACTTCTGTGACTTCTTTTCTAGGAACCAAGAGCTTGAGCTCTCTAATAATAGAATCTCATTGCGCCCAACTATATTTGAGAGACGGTGTTTTACAGGCAACCTGGTTCAATGAAGACCAATCCTCGACTGCTTTCCATTCCACGAACAATTTTAAGTCGGGATCTTCCTGTTGTTCTTTAGGTCTCGTACGTCTACCACCTGAGTTGTTTGGACCAACCCGTCTTTCTCCTCGATTCGTCGACAATGCCTACAATTTTTTGGGTAGGGTCTTCTTGAAAGAGCATCAGAAATTCCATTACGAATTCCTGCACGCACGACGTTCGATGTCAAGGTCGCACTCCTGCAGGTGCGCTATCCATTTTTCTACCTGATGCTCGGTATTCTTGAGTTGCAGTAGCAATTTCAGGGCGGCATTTATTTATTTATTTTTGATTTATTTATTTATTTATTTATTGATTTTTTAATTAATTTTAATTGCGAATATCCTTGATCGAGCAATATTATCTAAAGTGTCTATAATTCTCGGTAACGGATAGCTGTCTTAGTCACGTTCTTGAACTTACGATAATCCACACAAACTCTGGTGGGGCCGTCTTTCTTCTTCAAGGACTTTTTGATTCCTCAATCACATTTTCCCCCTTCATACCATCAATAAAGACGCTCTGAGATCCGGCACCGAGCGATGCGAATAGGAATTTGACCGATTCTGCTTAGTTTTCCGATGAATCAGTAGTTTCTAGGACTTTTTGCATGCGCTCTTCAAATGCCCCAGTTCCGCGCAGTTCCAACATCGAGAGCGGCTCTTTCCACGTTTTTCTAGATGTTGTAACTTTTAATTAATTGTGGTCTGGAAATCGGGCTCCTCCGTCGCGGTCCGAACTTTTGCGTGTGATTGGTGCATTGTTGGCTTCGTGGCTTTAATTTTAATTTTAATTTACGCTTGCAGCATTGACTTCGGACGAGACCATCTCATTTTGATTCCGGGTTTTATATCTTTTATCCTGGGTTAAGTAAAGGTTAAATAAACACATCTACTATGAAACATTAAAAATATAGCTTACAGGGTGTTTTTTTTGGTAGGTCAAAAGTTGCAAAACTTCATATTAAAAATCTCACTTTTTTTTAAATGGAACACCCTGTATATTTTTCTGCCATCATTTAGCTCCTCCAAAAACCTTCAACTGTTGATAATAATGTCCTACACCTATCTCTGATAGTTTTCGAAATATCTTGGTTTTCTTGGGTTTTATATTTTAATCTTAAATAAGTTATATGTACATTTACATAATAGGGAAGTAGCCATGCAAAAAAGGCAATTTTTATCTATCTCGTCCAAAACGGCAATCATATCGATTAATTTATTTTTCAAACAATTTACTTTAAGTCCAAAAACTGGAGAATAAGTAAAAGCATTTGACTACAAAGCAAATTTAGTTTACCTCCTAATGTCATCCAGTCAGTGATATTAGTTTCATTTTTTTTCATATTCACCTCGTTATTATATAAATTAGAACTTATTTCAGATTAAAATATAAAAAGTAGAAAAACCAAGATATTTGTTTGTTTTTACTATCAAATTTGTTCTCCAGTTTTTACAGACTTAAATGAATTATTAGAAAAGTGAATTAATAAATTTGATTTTAGCTTTGAACGAGGCAGATAAAAATTGCCTTTTTTGCATGGCTACCTATTATGTAAATTACATATAACCCAAGAAAACCAAGATATTTCGAAAACTATCAGAGATAGATGTAGGACATTATTATCAACAGTTGAAGGTTTTTGGAGGAGCTAAATGATGACAGAAAAATATACAGGGTGTTCCATTTAAAAAAAGTGAAATTTTTAATATGAAGTTTTGCAACGACCTACCAAAAAAAACACCCTGTAAGCTATATTTTTAATGTTTCATAGTAGATGTATTTATTTAACCTTTACTTAACCCAGGATAAAAGATATAAAACCCGGAATCAAAATTTAAGTAATAATTTTGACAATACACTGACGCTTGCAAGTGCCCAATTTTTCTTAAAAAACGAATTATCTTTCAAACTACTAGCTTATCGGATATTAACCATATAATTAAGAAGACGTACAATTACACGTAGAATTAAAAAATGCATTCAAATACAGAGGGTGCTACTTAAAAAAATGTACCATTTTGAAGCCCTACTTTGTGGGCGCACCCTGTATAATTCCAAATATTTTTGAAATGTGGAGAATATTCAACCATATCATAATACAAAAGCACTCTATCGAAAAATCTTATCTTCAAGGCATTGTTACTCCGCGCAATCGTTGCCTCATCATGTACAGGAGGTTCGCAGATCCGCTTAGTGAAGCCACTAACTCCAAAGCCTGTTATCTTGTGGTTCAGTTATTTGCTTTTGCTCCCATGGGACACTTCCATCACAATTGGGGGTATCTAAGCGCAATCCTGGTCTGGCAGGTACCAACGGACATGTTTCCTAATTTTCATTTCGAGTTTAAAACGGTTAAAATAGGCGAAGGAAGAACATTTATTGATTCTAAAATATCTAACACAAATCGAGTCCACGAACAACTACTCCCCTATTGGACTTGACGTATTCTTGTATATAAATTCGTCAATACATTTGGAAAATTGATACGTCTTGTCGCAAGGGTCCAGATTCTTATCTTGTAGTTCCATGCACGCAAAAACTTGATCGATCGAAATGGAGCCACCGAAGTGTTTTGTTGCAAAGTCTAAGTCAGGGGTACCATCAGCATTTGTGAAAGGTACCTTTGAGCTTACGCATTTCAGAAAGCACTTAAAGCACGACGAAGGAGATGGAAGATATGTCCTGTATTTCATCCAAAGGTCAACCTCGTCGGGATCTGCGTTCGTGGCACAAATGCATTCGCTTACGAACGGCTGAAAATCTTTACTCTCTGTTCCAGCATTTCCTTCCACAACTTCATTCTACGGTTAAAAACATTGTAGGTAGAGATATACAATTTTGTTTTACCATCAACACTAGAAACACCACAACGAAGAACACATTTGCGCAATTTTTCTCCATGTGAAATGTATAACTGGCCTCCTTTTTCGATTAAACCAAAATCTAAATGTAATGGTGGAATCGTTTCGGGCAAAAAAACAACTTTTATTTGCTAAGATAATGACTATCATTTAAGTTAAATACATGATACTGTAAAGTAAACTGTGTTTCGAAATGGTGTAAAAAAGAGGTTAAGACCCGAGAGGTTTGACTCCATTCTTAGTGCCTCGGTGCCAGGAGGAATTTTATTCAAAATTGCATCAGAGGTGAGTAGCCCCTCTAAATATAAAAGCCATCACTTGCTCATGTCTCCGATAAACATTGTTTTTGATATTAAAAATGATATATGAAAAATTGAAACCGTTCCCCCCCACCCCCTCTTGCTTCTTCGAGAGCAGGAAAACTACCAAAAGTTTACCGACGATCAAGCATGCACCCCCAAAATAGAAATACACACCTTACTGAATTCCCCTCACAGCCTAGGAGACTCAGACATACGTTCTCATTCGTTACCAATGCACTTGACAGACAGACCCCTCACTCCTTGCAGGAGGCCCTCCACGTTCGGTCGGTAATAGGTGAAAACTAGCTACGAATAAACAAAACAGAAAAAATTGGAGCAGGTTGAAGGGAGCTCTCTTTATCTCTCTCTTACTATAACTGAAGTGAAAGACTAAAAATACAAACATTAGGTAAATGGATCGAAAAGTGCCTTCACTCCCACTACAAAGTCCAAATTATAGTAGATAGGCAGTGTCCCTTCCAAATGAACAACCCGATAAGCAAAACAACTGACCGTGAACAAGTGGTGGAAAGGAAGGTTTCGTACATGCCATGCATGACCGGTTTTTCCCTGTGAGCATCTTCTAACTCATAGCAGAGGTAGGTTACGTTTTACCATAAAAGGGCCTAGATATTTGGGGGCTAACTTGGCGGAATAACTACGAGTCGCATTGGACATAGTTAAGTTATGGGCGTTCGCGCCGCGTACAGGAGAGAGCAAGACAAATTTGCTAAAATAATCGCAGATAACTAAGAGACCGTAGGAAAGGTCCAACGAAAGCCAGACGGCTCATGAACCGTGGGATGTGAGCCCAGAAAACCAGCGGGTTGCATTTGTTCGGATTTATGTTGAGCGACTACAGTACGAGAATCCAAGCACTTTAAGTCATATAAAGTTTCGGCCAATAATAACCAAAAGAACACCCCTACACGACCGGAAGTAACAATATGATGACATTCAGTCCCAATTGATTTGCGGAAATCCGTAGGCACGACTAGCTTCTAATTATCGTGTTCTCTGAAATGAAGTGAAGATCTTGATAAAGCAGAAAAATCGGGACAGTTCAAGACAGGTGCAGTACCCAAAAAAGTTCCACAAAGGCATTTTCGTATTCCGGTGTCCAGTCAAAGTGTACAGACTGTTTAAGCAAGCAGGTGAATTGAACAACGACAGTTGAAAATCTTCGATACCAACTGCACGTTCCGAAGAAACCTCTAAAGGTCTCACCCCCGAAAATTAGTAGGTGTGGCCTGTACTTTGGTATGATTGAGATGCAACCGGAAAGTATCGACTACATACCCCAAATACTTGAGTTCGACACGGCAGGAATGGCACTTGTCTATATTAAGCGATTGAAGACCTCGGGCAGGATTCGAATGTGCATATCCAAGGTTTTAGTTACGACGATTACATCGTCCAGATAGAAGTGGCTGGGACATTGGTTAGCCCAAAGGGCATTCGACAAAATTTATACAGACCTCGCGCAGGCACTGTAAATGCAGAATAGACACGAGAGGATTCTGACACTAACACTTGCCAATAAGCAGACCTGATATCGACCAAACTCTTTCGGTAATCGACATGCCATCTCGTGTTGGTACTAAGTAAACAGGTGAAGACCATCCACTCTTAGATGGTTCAATCCTGATCCAACACAATCCTTTGGTAGAAGTAAAGGTGTTGGATTCTAAGTTTCCGATTTTAAGAGTTCTGGGATCATGATTCAACTTTGAAGCCAACAGTTTTGATCGCGCAAAGAGCGTGAAAAAGCTTTTAAGACATATGGAATAAGATTCGCCAACAAATATGATTCCCTCAGGGAGTTCAAGAGCTTTTATTTGAGGCCTGGGGTCTTTAAAGTTCTTTAAAAGCTTTTCAAAACGTATGAGGTATGTATCCTGAGACTTTACGAAATATTATTAATTAAAACCTTTTAGTAGTCTTCGTAGTCGCATGCATTCTCGATTTTTAAGGAATTTAAAACTCTGTCACATGGCTTTAGGTCTTTATTTGAACAAGTTTTATAAGCAAAACTCCAAGCCCTTCTGAGAGAATCTTCCTAAGCCTTCTAAGGGTTGTCTTTAAGGGTGTTTAGACGCAACTAAAATCGTTTAATATCTTTACAATACTTTTTCTCTAAGAGTTTCCAGTGGATTTTGGCCATCAGAGTCTTTAATCGGCCTTTAGGAGCTTTTGAAGATTGAACCTTTAAGCTCTTTGCAATACTTAAAGGTCTCTGGTTGCATTTAAGGATCTTTAAGCGGCCGCCATTTTCTAAGAGCTCCCAAAGTCGTCCAAGGATTTATAACATGCTTCTAACGGCTTTTAGAACCATTAAAAGCCTTTAAGAACCTCCATGACTCCTAAAATGTCCTCAAGAGTCTTCAGCGGTCTTCTAGAAGCTTCCTTTATTTGAAAGCTGAGCCCCTAAGAACCGAATTTTAATCTATCCTCGCGCAATCTTGACATTTCAAGTAATTGAGGAACGAAAGCCCATTAAAAATGACACATATTTCGTTGACCGCAAACAACCAGTGAAATTCTTTACACCATTACGACCAAAATTCGTTTGAGAAAACAATTCATCTAAACCTAAATGATCTCGTGACACAGGGGCCATCAAAGGATCTTCAGAGAGACATAGAGCCTTTAAAAGCCCTTTAAATATTGCTGAAAGTGTTTTAGAACGGGTCTTGGGCCTTTGTAAACATCCCCTGACACATTTTATCTATCCTACGGATCTCAAAGCGCCGCAAAAACTTTTCAAGATTTTCAAGGATCTTAAGAGCGTTCGTAACCGGTTTACCCTACGTGCCGGCAGCCTTCGAATGTAGGCCACGGTGACGCTCAAAGGACACTCACCTCCGCTCTCCTTTGGCAGTGACCTTGGAAAGTACGTCAAAGCAAAGTTGAAAGATCTCTGGTCGTCCTCATTTTTTGTGGTCTCATAATTCAATTTCAAGGTCATCAAAGATCAATGGCCCTTTTTTTGTAGTCCCATTTTATTTTAAAGGTAATTGAACGCGAAACGAACCCAACAGTATTCGCCGTAGGGTTGAGTGATGCAGATACGGTGCGAGGTCGGGATCAAACCCAGGTTCCCCAGTACACATAACGTTTTCCCTTGATGTTGTTAAAAACTCCCATTGGTTGGGATTGAACGCAATTCTGATCGTGTCATTTGATTTCGAAGCCGATTTTCAGAGTTATCATTAATTTTGTTTAAATAACATATTATATTTATATATTTATATTTACTCTCTTTTAATTGTAATTGTAATGTTACATTACGCGTTAAAAAATTAGATTTGAACATCTGAAACATTTCCGTAGTTACTGTTAAAGTTTATCTTCGGTCTGCGATAAGAACAGTTATCGCTGCGTAAGCTAATTAAATTTTAAGATAAGGACGTGTTTTGGCCAGGTGTAATTTGATTTCTTGAAGACGCCCATTATTTTTTTAAGGAAGGAGAAACGGAATTTAGATTTAAATAAGGAACCGTACCTTAAACTAGTCCTTTTCTGATCAAGCGCTTGTTTAATCGAGACTCGTTTTGGTGGAAGAGTTTTTTGGACGTTAAAACGCAGGTGCGTTTAAGCGTACTTGTTTTAAAACGAAATTAGTATTGATAGAGGTCGGTTTGAGCGGAAGTACGAAAAAATTTAATCGGCGTGCCCTGATGAGCGTTTGTCGCTTAAGATTATGGTCTTCAAGTTATTAGTTAAAGGGAGTTTGTTCTCCATGAAAGCGTCAATACTACAATAGTAATTACAACGAAGTCTGTCGTTTAAATCGAAGTTTGAGTGCAATGGAAGGAGTTAAGTGTCTGTTTGTTTGAAAGTCGCAGTTATGATCGAAGATTATTGACACTTTGGGCTAATTAGGATGTTCTTTAATTAAACGTCTATCGATCGCTTGTAGGGTGGTATGCGTTATTCTGGCCCTAAGTGCCTGTTTTTCTTTCAGCCCGATTGTTTTATGTCAACTAAATTTGTTTCATCTGTAAATGATTGGTTGTGTGATTAATCGAGTCAAAAATTGTCTTGGATACTCATGTTAAATCTTTCTATTTCCTACCCGCGACGTGACAGAGGCTGGACGTGCCCTAGAAAAATTATAATTTTTTTCATGGTGCACTAAATTGACTAAACAGATAATTGATAGAGATACAGAATGGTTCCCCTGTACCGTTTCTTCAAAACGTACCGATTTTTGGGTTTTAATTTTAGTCATTCTCGAGCGTTGTTAAAAATACAGAAGCAATCCAATAAGTTGATTAATGAAGAGTTTTACAGACCCGTAAAATGCTTGATAGACTAAAAGACTTTTAATTAATTAGAAATTGGTTGATGACCACTTGTCTAACATTCTTCAGAGTTTGTGGAAATTTTCGAATTTAATTTTATACACTTCCTGCTGTGTAGATTTAATTTCGACTTAAAATGGTGATCGGTTGTGTATGCACTATTTCTGCAATCAGTTCTAGCAATCTTTCTAATTAGTTACTTATGTAATAGTCTTATATAATCAATTAGATAATAAAATCAAAGATGCCGATAAAATTATGCGAATCAATCCGCCAACCAATTCCATAAAGGCAAGAATCGCTTGACCATGCCCACGAATTGGCCCGATTCTCAGAATTTTAATTAAATCGAGTGTCAGAATTAAATAATTAATTAAAATCAAAGTCTTATTCCAGATAAATAATTAAATTCAATTAAACCGGCGAAACCGCCAACCAGAGCGTCGATTAAAGTCAAAACCTCAATCAAATTAAAAACCGCGAAATTATATCCAATTGGACGAATTAATTAACGACAAAAATCCAAGATGGCCGGGAAAGTGCCACAGTTCGTCTGATGCTGCCTTCGTCACCCATTTTTACCGCTTTGCTCAAATCGTTAATGCGATATGGAGACCTTAGCCTAAACTACATCAGGCAGATGTTTTATCTGGCTTCTGTAACTGCAGTAATGATGGGCCACCCTGTATGTCTACCGAATTTTTTTTAGGTATGGTCATTGGTTGGGATTGAACGCAATTCTGATCGTCTCATTTGATTTCGAAGTCGATTTTTTTTTAATTGCCTTTATTTTATAGTGGGCGGAGTGTTAGCAATTTGCTATTCTTCCCACTCAACCCACTATACAATCACAAACAGCCATGCCTTACCTGGGATTCGAACCCAGGACCCTTGTAGCCAAAGTTAGAGCTTCTAATGTAAGCTCATCTGAGTTACGCAGGTCGGCAGAGTTATCAGTTGTTAATTTTGTTTAAATAACTTATTTACTCTCTTTTCGTAATTGTAACGTTACATTACGCGGTCAAAAAATTAGATTTGAACATCTGCAACATTTGCGTGGTTACTGTAAAAGTTTATCTACGGTCTGCGATAAGAACAGTAATCGCTGCGTACGCTAATTAAATTTTAAGATAAGGACGCGTCCTGGCCGTTTCAGAAACACGGGTGTAGTTTGATTTCTCGAAGACGCGCATTCTTTTGTTAAGGAAGGAGGAACGGAAATTAGATTTAAATAAGGAACCGCACCTTAAACTAGGCCTTTTCAGATCAAGCGCTTGTTTAATCGAGACTCGTTTTGGTGGAAGGGGCAAATCCACCTATTTGGACCTTGAAACGCAGGTGTGTTTGAGCTTACTTGTTTTAGAAGGAAATTAGTATTAATAGATTGAAGTGTTTCAAAGGTAGGTTTAAGGTCGTTTACGAAAAAATCGGCGTGCCCTGATGAGCGTTTGTCGCTTAAGATAAGGTTTTCAAGTTATCAATTAAAGGGAGTTTATCCTTAATCGAAGGGTCAATACTACAATAGTAATTACAACGAAGTCTGTCGTTTAAATCGAAGTTTGAGTGCAATCGAAGAAGTGAAATTCTGAAGTATCACCCTTTTATTGTCTGTTTGTGCGTCTGTTTGTTTGAAAGTCGCAATTATGATCGATGATTTTGGATTATTGACACCTTGAGCTAATTAGGATGCTCTTTAATTAATCGTTTATCGATCGCTTGTAGGGTGGTGTGCGTTATTCTGGCCCTAAGTGCCTGTTTTTCTTTCAGCCCGATTGTTTTATGCCAAATAAATTTGTTTCATCTGTAAATGATTGCTGTGTGACTAATGTTAAATTTTCCTATTTTCTACACGCGACGTGACGCAGGATGGGCGTGCCCTAGAAAAAATATAATTCTTGCTTCTAGAAGGTTTTGCCAACAGCTGTGCTTAATTGAGCCAGGTAGACAGGTTCGTGGCTTAGTGACCATTTGCAATTGCATATGCGTCCAACGTACTGGGGCACACAGCATCTTTATTTGGCGCCCAACGTGGAGCACATACCTAAAATTTCACTTTCTGTCAGCGTAGTTGATACTAGATTGAGCATTCGAAAAACAAAGTAGCTTCTACTACTCATGTAAAATACGTGAGCGAGTGCTTTGTTGGGTTCACCTACACTATCTTAAAAGGGTTCATGCTGCACTAAATTGACTAAACAGATAATTGATAGAGATGGTGCCCCTGTACCATTTTTTCAAAACTTGTAGCCATTCTTGGGTTTTAATTTTAGTCATTCTCGAGCGTTGTTAAAAATACAGAAGTAATCGAATAAGTTTACTAATGAAGAGTTTTACAAACCCGTAAAATGATTGATATTGTAACGTGATTTATAAATTCGGGCTCGATTTATATCAATATTTATTAAACAAAACTAAAACACTATAAAAACTGTACAATTTATATCGACTATTTATCTTACACACTTCGCAATTTATATCAGAGTTTCGTTTCGTCCGTACTCGATCTCGTTCGGTAGTAAAACTGACTGCGATGTTCGGTCCGCAACCATTTATACACGCAAGCAATGTAAGTCCAGAACATTCGCGTAATTACCGGAATATTCCTATACAAATCCCACTATTGCGCGCGTAGAAAATTCCAGAGCGCCAAAGGCGACGTCATGTCTGGAGCGTTTCCGTTACAATATACTGAAAGACTTTTAATTAATTAGAAATTTGTTGATGACCACTTGTCTAACATTTTTCAGAGCTTGTAGAAATTTTCGAGTTTAATTTTATACAGTTCCGGGGGTTACAAAAGATTTTATTTAAACTTAAAATTATGATAGGTCGTGTTTGCTCCATTTTTGGAACCAGTCCCGGTAGCCTTGCTAATTATGTACTTATGTATTAGTCTTCATTAAAACGCTAAATGAAGGGCGCCGATCAAATTACGTGAATAAATCCGCTGACAAATTCCATAAAGGCAAGAATCGATTGGCCACGCCCACAAATTGGTCCGATTCGCAAAATTTTAATTAAATCGAATGCCAGAATTAATTAATTGATTCAAATCTAGGTCTATTTCAAAGAAATAGTTAAATGAGTTCAATTAAACCTGCGAAACCGCCAACCAGAGAGCGGGACCGCCGATTAAAGTCAAAACCGCAATCAAATTAAAAACCGCGAAATTTTTTTTCAATTGGACCAATTAATTAACGACAAAAATCCAGCAAAGTGCCACAGTTCGTCTGGTGCTGCCTTTGTCACCCATTTTTACCGCTTTTCCCAAAGATCTTATGCTTATATTCATTTTTCCGTTCGTCCGTTTCTTGAACTGCCACATAATGGAGAGTGCTATTGACCTGAAAAGTTGGTATCAAATAACGTATAATAATGTGTATTGTGAACACAATATCGCTCGTCTCCACATTTATCCACGTCTTCAGTTACTATTGACTGGAAATCAAATCTGCGTAATAAATTATCTCGAACATATCAATATAGCGAGATATGGAAAACTCGCCTTGCCGATTTTCCAAGATTAAATTTGTAGATACTTGATGTATATGCATAATATGCCGCCATACAGTAAATAATATGCACCTTAGAATATTTTCAGCTGCTTTTGTCGCTCTCTAAATTTGATTTTGATTACCAGGTTTCAACAGGCGCAAGTTTGGTTAATCAGTCGAGAACGAATGGGGGTCATGTCTAGGCTCCCTTGTATTGTGTGTGTAGTAGTCAGTTTGGTGTAGCGGTTTAAGACTCGGACTTTACTTTACAGGTTGTGAGTTCGAATCCACAACTTTTCAGTTTTTAGTGGTATAGAACATCTCCTGACTACCATGCTTTTTGTCTTGTTTACACCAGAAAACTTTACAACTATAAATGGCACAATTTCAGATTGTATTATATTTAGAAAGGAAAAATCACACTGTATTTCAATATAATAAACATGAATTTACTGCATATGTTTACCGTGTCTTAAATGTTTTCCATCCCCCCGGCCGCAAAGTTCAAAATGCCCATAGCTAGGTTTAGATCGCCGGGGTAACCGAAGCCGGGGAGTAAATGGTCGCCGGGATGGCTTGTCGCCGGGAGATCGGTGCCGAGATGGTCATCGCCGGGATGACCGTGACCGTTGTTGGACTAGGTCAAAAATCTTACTTTCTGTACAGTTACCATAGGAATTACGAAGTAAGTAAAATGTAGTAACTCTTTATCTAACCACCTATAATATGTCGTCATTGTATACGTCTCTTAAATATTTACATAGTTTTACTGATACGGTTGCGAGCTCAAAAGGTTTGCCAGGGGACTGTCGACTGCAAGATAAGTATGTCCTACGCTATGGAGAAAGTTTGCGTTATTACTTTTTTCATTGTGTGCTCTTTAACCTTTCTGGTAAGAATTTATCGTAACGATTTACTGAAGATTAATTAATTCCACTCCAGATCGAAGGCGCCGATGAGGACACCGACCGGAACAAGGACATCGAACAGTACGTGGAGGAATGTATTTGTGAATCAGGCGCTGATCCCAGCGATGCCTATGCGTGGTTGAGGAACAGAACTTATTCCAAATCTCCGTGTTTTAGGTGCTTCCTTTTTTGTGTGGGAATAAAAATAGGTGTGTGGAGAACCGACGGTACGGTCGACCTTGATGGTGCATCGGAGCATTTTGGGTCTTCGATTAGTAGAGAGCAAGTCGCCGCTTGTGAGGCATTGCAAGAAAATAACCTCGATTTTTGCGATAAGAATTACCAAGTCTCGACGTGTTTCGACAAAGTGATTGAGGAGAATGCTTTAAACCCAAAAAAACCGATAGCGGAGTAGTTTTACGACAAGTGAAAACAGACTTTGAGATTTTTTGGATACATATACTTGATTGACTTAAGTAAATTGAATGAATAATTTGAATTAATACATTTCTTTTCGAATTCTTTGTTCATTTCCCGAAAGGCGCCACACGAACGATAATAGTGGGTTTAAACAATCATTATTATTGGTTCACTATCATTAGATCATTCTGAAATGGTCAATAGAAAAAAAGGTCTATTGTGCGTCACTAACCAACGACACCATACCTTTGCTCCTATTGGCTATCCCTTAATGATCTGATGATAGTGAACTAATGATAATGTTGTATATGTTACGCACAAATATCGAAAACGCTGAATGAGCGAAAATATCGCACATAACGCGATATGGCCGCAGATAAATGACCAAACATCGAAATTAAACTATTTTTCCGTGTTATGGTCGTTAACTTATGAAGCGGCCACAACGCGTTTGCTCGTTTGAAGAATTACCATGATACATTGGATTACTTATTAAATGACAATATATTTAAAAAAATATAATGCATTTTGAAAATAGCGTCATGTAGACGTTATTTGTGATTTTATTTACACTTCCGGCATTTGCTACAAAGGAAAATTCCAATATTAACCTAAATTAGTGGTGTGGGAGACTCCGTATCCTCAATCAACTTCCGAAAATTCCAACGGATCAACTACACGCCTGTCACAATTCTTGGACACGAGAAGGAAAATCTGACATGAAAACTCTATCCGAATTACACAATGGATTCGAATAAACACACAATTAATTGATTGACAATAACAAAACAAACACTCCAAATATTTACGGTAGAGATGAATAACACACGAAGTTGACTAAAATATTTTATGAAACAGATAATAATCTTTGCACTTCAAAATAATATAAATTCAAAGTGGCAAGTGAAAATTTGCACAGTAGCTTTATGAACTAGGCTCCCCTGGTCTACTCGTTTTGCATTAGAGCATAAGCGCAGCGATAAAAACGACTCGGAACATCAGTCGCACGAGGATACGCTTGGTGTTATAAACAATTCTAAAACGAACAACAAATACGGAAATTCAAATTCAAATAAAATTACCTTTAGGTAATCCCCCGATTTAAACTTAATAAATTGAAATTTTGTCATATACAGGATGCCCCGTCATAATTTTTTGTCTTTAGACCGAAATAACGTCTACATGATATTTTTTAAATATGTTGTCATTTAATAAATAATTCAATGCATTATGGTCATCCTTCAAACGAGCAAACGCGTTGTGGAAGCTTCTAAAATGACCACAACACATTCTCTCTCTCTCTCGCATTCGTTTTTATCGCCGGTGACTAATCTCTTATGGCGCCTCGATATCTATCTGGGTTTCTAGAATATTTGCGACATTATTTTTACAACGTTTCAGAGTGTGATGTGCAACTGGGTTTGGAGTCTTTTGATTTTTGTAGTACCAGACAAAAGGGAAGGATTAATAACAGAAGGTGACTTGAGGTAGACACAGGGCACTTCGCCGCCGGTTTTGTTTGGTTCAAAGCATTCTCCTGTATTAGTTTGTTGAAACGGGTTGACTTTGCTTTTCCAGTTAAATGACTTCTTGTCGCTCGAGACCTTATCAGTAAAAAAAATAAGTAAATAACGGTGCTTGTTACTATTTGAGAAGCGCACACAAAGGAAAGTAACCCAAAACAATATTTACGGTGACATATTTAAACTTTCCTCCAATCCTCTAAATAAAAAGCATTTCAGGTGTGGAAAACGATATCGCTTGCAAGAACTTAGCAGTCAAACTTTATGCGATTTTGTTTACAGAACAATACCGAAATATCAAGCTAATTGCAACAGAGATGCGCGGATCCTCTGTACTCTTCGACGTATTGGCAATCAGCAATGATCTCTAAACCAACTGCTCTAAGTATCATCTGTTAAGGGCAAAAGAGATCACGTTCCAAAATTTGTGACCGCTTGCATCAAAGCTGTTCTCGGAAACAAAACCTTTTTCGTGGAAGTGGCTCTCTTGTTTTTTAGTAAATTGATTGAGTAAGCGATGGAAGTAATAACTTTTGTTATATGTCACATCAGAGGATAAAAGAGCCACTATAAGGCCCCTAGCGACTATTTAGGGTTTGTGAAGCTCTTGGGGCTATGACTCCTAAGTGCCTTTACAGGCTGAACATTTCTTAAAAATTTATAATCCTATTGTGTGTCAGAACCCTAAATTGTAATTTGAATTTCCCCTCTATCAAATATATGTAGATCCAGGTATGCGCACAAGGTGATATGATACCGTCACGTTGTTTACTTCAATGTGAACAATTTTATAGTGCACATTGTTCATTAAATAAAAATAATTGAAATGTAAATTTCTATCATTGACAGGTTATGAGCCGCAATGTTTTCACTGCTACTTAATTAAATACTGAAAACAATGTCTACGAATATGAGCAATCAATTATTAATAACCGAGAAGTTGGAGGGCTCCTCAAACTATAATAATTGGAGTTTTTCCATGAAATTACTTCTTATTCATGAAGGATTGTGGGAACACGTCACCAAAGAAGATGTGAAACCTGATGAGAGGGCAGCAAATGAACGTGCCATGGCAAAGATTGGGCTACTTGTTAAATCTTCTCTGTACCCATATATCCAACCTTGCAATAATGCCAAGGAAGCTTGGGATGTCCTGGCTACCACGTTTGGTAGTACCGGCCTCATCTCACGTCTCAGTGTGTTGCGTCAGCTATTTCGTATAACACTGGAGGGTCGCACTCTTGATGAGTATGTAGCACTAGTTCTATCGCTCACGCTACAGCTATCTGCAATGGGCAAACCACTTGACGATGAATTCGTAGCAGTCATTCTACTAAATGGTTTAACTGAAGAATTTGATCCAATGGTAATGGCTCTCGAAAGTTCTTCTGCAAAAATCACTACCGACATAGTGAAGAACAAGCTACTACAAGAAGCGTCTCGCCGCAGTGCATCTAATCTTGAAAGCCCGGATGGTACGGCATTTTCCACGCGATATGACCAACGCCGCTGTGATATCTGCCACCGTACGAGCCACAGCACTCAGCAACACCGAGGCAAGCGAAAAGGGAAGAAGAATACAGCACAAGCCACGTCAGGGACGTCGTCTGTGCCAGCCAGTTCCTCTCCGCGGTATAATCACCCCAACCAGACCAACCAGTCCAATCAGAAGAAGAAGTCGGCCAACAAAGTCGGCAATAGTAACACGCACGTGAGCTTCTTTACTGTTATGGCTGCTAATGTTACTACTACTGATTTTATCTTTGATACTGGCGCTAACATTCATGTTGTATCTAACAAACATTTATTTACAAATTTTGAATCTCGTACTATGCTAAACATTACTTTGCCTAATAATGAAACAGTCAAATGTCCTGGTAAGGGTGATGTCACTATTCCCATGGGTCCTAATTCCTAAGTCACGGTCATGATGCAATATTTTGCTCCTAGTTTCTCAGCTAATCTCATTTCGGTTAGTCAACTTGTAGCAAAAGGACACACTGCCACGTTCACAAGTGATGGCTGCCAGATTCATTCACCAGAACGTATTGTAGTCGCCACCGCCACTCTTAGAGATGGAATCTACGTACTGGATCGTCCTTCTACTAAGCACATGTTACGTCAGGCTACAAATGAGCAGCAATCACAACCTACTGAGACTATACATGCTATTTCAAAGCCTCAGCAGTCAAATGCTCGTGCCAATGCTGTCCAACATTCTCATGATATTTGGCATTCACGCCTAGCTCACTCAATCATCGTAGTATGAGAGATTGCTACGCAACGGTCTCGCTACAGGAGTTAAACTACCCTAATACTCCACACGACCCTTGTATTCCTTGTATTGAGGGAAAGCAAAAGAGAGTACCTATACATCGCGAGAAAGGTACTAGGGCAACAGAATTACTCGAACTTGTACACACTGATATTGCTATTGTGAATGTAAGTTCACTCAACGGCGCGACGAGCGGAATCCTGTTTGTCGATGATTATAGCCGAAAAAACCTTCATTTATTTTATGAAGAAGAAGTCAGAAGCTTTTGCTAAATTCTGCGAATTTCAGGCTGTGATAGATTAAGTAAGTGACAAGGGGAGAACCGGCAACAAGGCAGAGAGAGTCGGACGGAGACGCAAGTACATGCGTTCAGTTAATAAAGTTATGTTAAACAAACATGTCGTTTCCTTTTGTTTTAACATATAACACATGGCGCAGTCGGAAGTAAATTTGGTGGTTTTATTATTCGTATTGTCAGGGCACTCTGGTTAAACATTTTGGGGCTTATTAAGCTACCTACTCTACTGTTATCTCGCTTGATGAGAAAATGGCGGTCTCGTGCAACGTACCAGCAAAACTAGTTTTGGAAGGAAATCTAAGTGAAAATTGGAGAAGATTTGCCCAGTCATTCGACATATACCTCTTGGCTAGTGGACTTGATACACAACCTGATAAGCGCAAAATTGCAGTCTTACTAAACTTAATTGGTGACGAAGCTTTGGAAGTTTACAACACGATCAAAGGTAATACTACAAATAATGAACTTAAAGATGTTTTAGCCAAACTAGAGGAATATTGCAACCCTAAGAAAAATGTCTTGCATTCACGCTTTATATTCAATCAACGTAATCAAAAGGAAGGCGAGCAATTTAATTCGTTCTATACTGATGTCAAGTTACTAATTGGAGCCTGCGAATATAGTGATGCCGACGAAATACTTCGGGACAAACTTGTTTTCGGGTCAACCAATCAAGATGCAAAAACTAAATTAATCAAAGAAGGGAACCCCAAGCTAGATGAGGTGGTAAAATCTCTAAGATTGGCAGACATCACGGATATACAAGTTCAAAATATCTTATCAACACAACCTAATGTCCACTCTACCGTTACGAAACAAACAAGACCGAAAGCAAGGCCAAGTTTTATCAAAAAGACTGACATTTGTGATAAGTGTGGTCTCACTCATTTTAGTGTAGGAAATTGTCCCGCGAC